AAGGCATGACCCAGTGCAAAACCACCCACTTCCTACTCAACCCCCACTTTTAAAGAGATCCTGAATTTTGACAGCCACCTGTCAAAGCCTCTTATCTTTTTAAAAAAGAGTTCACATTTGCATTTTCTTTTGCCTATAGAGGTTCAGAACAACATTCAAAACGTGAACCCACACGGGCACTAAAGGCAGAATACAGGGGGAAAATGTTATTTCTGGGAAGCAGGTGTAAATCTCTCAAAAGAGACCCTTATCAGCCAAATATTATTTGTGCCATTGGTTTCCTTGACAGCTCACCTTCTACAAGCTGTCCAGAAAAACAAAGCAGTTGGAAAGGCTTTTATTAGAGTTATATCCTACCTTTTTCTTTTTTAAAAAAAAAAAGCACTCAAAGTAGGTTATATCATTTCCCTCCTCTTGCTCTCAGTGTTATCCCTACAACAACAACCCTGTAAGGTAGGATGGGCTGTGACTGGCCCAGAGTCACCCAGCCCCACATTCTTAACCACTACACCACACTGGCTTTCAAAGTTTTTGAGCCTTGGCTGAAAGGTGTCCACCAAAGCTCTAAATCCACACAATTGTACTTCTGCGAATGATCATATTTACAGAGCTGCAGTAAAAACACAACTTAAAATGCTGGGCAGTGTCTCCAGGGAGCTGCTAGAGAACTTTGCCAGGGCTGGCTGTGGCTGTCCACACAGGGGTCATGAAAACTGACTTTGCAGCTTTTTTCATTATCTCAAGGGAAAAAATGAGAAAAAAGCCACGACAAGCCAAAAAGGGCTCACAGTGGTGAGAAAAATTCCATTCTTTCTACCCCAAGGAAGATCAAGGAGGGAGGGGGTTGGGCAACAACCCACAGTGAGCCCAGTTGTGTCAGGCTTGTTCACATGGCAACTGACTCACCATGACTCATTCACACAACCACCAACCTGCTGTGGTTTACTGGCCACAGTGAGTTACTGTGACATGCAAAAGTGAACGCTGACTATTAGCTATTCCATCTTTGTCTCCTTCATGAACTTCCTCTAGTAAGAAAACGCAGCAGGAACAGCAAGAAAAGGTGGGAGGACTACAAACAGAAGCCAGTGCCCCCTGAACCTCCCAGTAAAATGTGAATGAGGGCCAAAAATGTGCACTCCACAAAAAACCCTTTTCTGAAGGTACCCTAGGCTTCTCCCAATAGAGCCTAATATTGCAATGTCTTTTTACCTTTGGCTGGCTCATAAACGCAGTCCTAATTGTGACAAAACCAGTCCTGTTTAAACATCCTTCATGGAAACAGAAGGGCCTAAGCATTGATTTCTTCTAGCTGAGTTAATACCAGGGGAATCAGTGCAGATATATTTGACCATGCAGGGCATGCATTCCCTATATGAAGTTTTGTGTTCTCCTTGGTCTCACAATGCTTTGATAGCATCTTTAGAATAAGGAGCAGCCCACAGACTCCTCCGCCAACATGGCTGAACTTAACACAGGCAACGCCACAGCTGAGTGGGCAGCTGTCTCACCACCCCTGTTGCAGTGACTTGTGCAGAAGTGGCTGCCAGACAAACATTAATCCATCAGGCTAATGAGGCACCAACAAATTATTTGCATTCTCCTGGAGCTGTTTCAGTCAGCGATCAAAGTGGCTCAAAGAGAAGTTTTAATTGACGAACCACTGCACTGATCTGGAAAGGGAGCTCTTTGAACAGAGAAAATAATGCAAAACACTGGGCCTAGTTTGGCTAGTTAAGTTTTCAAAACTGATGACTGCTTCCTTGCTTCAACTCCATCATCAGGGATCGGCTTGAGATGTGCCTTACCAAGTGAACTTTTGGTGAACCAGATGCATGAAATCTGCCTGGAGCTGCTTGGACACTGAAACAGTGGTAATTACAGACAAGCAACCCTTCAGATGTATTACACTGCAACTCCCCAATTCCCAGACATCACACATCTTGACAGGAGCTGCAGTCCAACAGATATGGAAGGCACTAGGTTGGGGAATGCTGCACTGAGTTCCTTCTTCTCATGGTCCCCTCTGCTCTGGAAAAGCTCCTCCAATCCCAGTTTCTCCTGGCCCTGCCTCTAGTTTTTCCAGCATTTTTCAGAGGGAACAGCATGCCTTGTGCTACCGAAGACACCCCACCATCTTCTTTCCTGACTCTTCAAAACATGGCGAGCCACATTCTTCCAGATCAGATAGCCTGTGCTGCAAGGCAAATGTCGGAGAGTAGGAGCTTCTCATGACAGCTGGCTCCCAGCCATGCCTTCCATAGAAACTAACAGTAGGGCACATGAGCAGTGTGCAACTTGCGGCCCCTCCAGATGTTTTTAGACTTCAGTTCCCAGAAGCTCTAAGTCAGCGTAGTTCATGGTGAAGGACTAGGGAATTTGTAGTCCAATAACTTCTAGAGAGCCACAAGTTGCCCACCCGTGCTCTGTAGCAAAACACAGAGATCCAATGGACAAACACACAAGCCATTAATAAACATTCACAATTGCACCTACAGGACATGACTGTAGTTGGTACCTGGAACTAAGGAGTGTATGCTCCTGACTATATAAGTTCAGCTTGTAAAACACACAGGGTGTCCTGGGTTGTTGATTAAAATCAGAAAAGGCTCACACAATCCCTCATTCCCAGAAATCCCTGAGTTAAAGGACCCAGGAACTATCACTGTAACATGAAAACCATATCAGTCCCTTTCTTCTCCTGTCACACTCCAAAGAACAATTTCCTCCCTGAAGCTGCTGTTTGATTTCAAGGGAAGCATGCAAGTGCAATGGAGGATTCTCTTGAGATACAAATAGTAACTTTAGAAGGGAAATTCTGGTCAGGACAGTGGCTGAAAAAGCAGAACTCCCCCTCCCCTTAAGTCCCAAGGTTGCTCACTGCAATGCAACACAAGACACTTTCCTTACCCCTCAAAATTCTCTGTTCCCCCTGACCTTAGTCACAAACACTCCAGGTAGGTGAGAAGAAATGATTTTTCCCAGCAACTGAATAATAAACCCGCCAAGTATTTGGAATAGTTTGGTCTTGAAGGGAAATTCAGATCCATTAGCTTTACCTGCTGCAGGTGGCATGCTAAGATGAATCGGCGGTCTATACTTCTGGATTCTACTTGGCAGTGTGGATCTGGGAAATATAATGATACACACCTGCACTTCAAAATTACCACTGCTCACCACCCACAGTCCTATGGGTGCACTGGCTTCCTCTGGGCTGCCACTGATTGATTGATTCTTCCATGCCTTCCAAGATTAGGCAGAATTAGGGCACACTGGCATGAAGTGAGTACTCTGCATGGTCAGATTGGCTTGCATCAAACCCAAATTTGGCAAGGAGAATGGACAGCACTCTTAAATGTCAACCTACATTTTCTTTTTTCTACCTAACCCCTATCTGTCAAAAAACTACAGGGCCTGGCCAGAAACACGCCCTGTCAGTTAGAGCAAGCAACAAACGCAGAATGGACTTGTGCATTATGCTTACTCAGGTTGTTGTCCCATCCAGGCCCATATAGTTGACACTGACTTGCAATGGTTCTCCAGGGTTTCCGGCAGGCATTCTTCCAGCCCCAGGCCGAGATGCCATGACTTGGGACCTTCTGCATGCAAAAAGTGCAGCCTACCACCAAAGAACTGTACCCCTCCCCTAGCAACAGAGAAGCTTTGGAAGCAATTACATTTGGCTTAAATCACTTGAAAGCATGTCAAGTGTCTCCTTTTTAGATATATTTCACAATAGGCGATGGTAGGAGACTTTTCACTACTATTGTAGATTGCAGGAAGGGGAGATTTAACATTCTTCAACTGTAACTCTGATGAAAACCTCCCCTGGCACCTTAGCTGGGATAACACCACTAAATAGTTTTAAATGTTTCAAGCTTTTCGGGAGATAAAGGGCCTGCACAAAGTCACCCTCTTCTCCCCTAGTAGGGTCACTGGGAGCAGGACGACATTAAAATTTTTCCCACTCTGCCCCATAGAGAGTAGCCCAGAGCTGGAACAGAGCTGAATTCCGCAACGGGAAGAGGCTTACTTAGCACCAAACGATTCCTCTACTCATCCGTTTCTGCTGAACATTTTTTTTCTCCTTACCCTGAACAGGTTCGAACGTGCATTAGAAACACGTGTGCTGTACGAGTCTGGCATCCTGAATGCAAGGTCTCTGTTGCATGCAAGGTTCTTTGTTCATTAGGGGTTTTCTTATTTTGAGTCTCTGATTTTACTGTCTAGAGTGGCCCTTACTGTAAAACGAAACTGCATTCAAACGCAACATTCTTCTTGGGTACTTGCTCCCAGGTAGCTGATTATTCTCAGAGGGGTGGGGGCACGCCTCCCTCCTCCCAGATTGGATTCCGAAGTGGGCGCGGCGAACACGTGAAGCTTAGCAGGACATGCCCAACACGCGCCGGGCAGAGAAGAGCAAACCCCGACAAGAGAAGCGGGTCCAGGCGCCCGCGCACAACCTTCCACAGACCGCCGGGCAGTGCCCGAAAGTCACACCTTGATCGAGACGGGCCACTGCGCGCGCTCCCGCTCGCCTGTGGACACGCATGAGAAAGAGTGACACGAGTCAGCTGACCGATGTTTTCCGTCTCCCTCGACTTTCCTTACATCCAGGCTGGCCAATCAAGGGAGCAACCCGTCCCGTCCCCCGCCCCGCCCGCCCTCGGCCTCTCTCCTTTCACATGGGCTGGCTGAGCAGAGGCTGTTTGAGCCGCTTCGCTCCGCAACACAAGAGCCCACGTTAAGGAAGCAGCCAATGAGAAGGCGGATTCTTTGCCAAGTGTAACACGGCCCCTGGGAACCCGGGGCGGGGCGGGGGGGGGGGGAGATGCCTATAAATACGTTGTGGTTGTAGTAAAGACGGGGATAGGTTCGCGGGTGGGTTTGTATTTTTCTAGATTTTTAAAAAGTTCTATTTAAAGTGTGTTTTCTGATGAAGCCGAAGTCACTTTTCTAGCAAGCCTTTTCATGTCCTTTACTTTTTAGCAGGTAAGAGGGGCTCTTTGTCTTGGAAGCTGAGTTATTCGGTCAACCGAGGCACGTTTACTTGGCAGGAGGGCCCATAGAACTCGGTGGGGCTTACTTCTGAGCAGGGTTGCTTGGGATTGCACTGTAACGACAGGATTCTTATAACTAACAGTTTATTATTATTTATTTCCTCTGTCTGTTGTTTTTGCTTTGAAACCCCAAAAATGTTCTTTAGGAGTTGCAGCTTTAAAAAACAAAACTTTAAGAATTGAGTGTGATTTCTCTTTAAAATATGAATTTTCCCCTAAACTGATAATGGATTAAATAACTCATGGACTACAATCCTGTATCCAGTTATCTGAAAGTAAGTGCCTTTGAAAAGCATGGAACTTGCTTTTGAGTGAGTAGTCATGTTTAGAGTTCTGCTGATAGACCTTTAGCCAGGTGAATGCTTTGCTGTTGTCCTGACCCCCCTGCGACTTTATATCATGTGTTCTATTACTGCCTGACTTCTAATGGTCTAGCAATAAACCACATTTGCCTTTTTGCAGTACATGAAGAAAGGTACATTGACTTACTGGCAGCGAGAAGAGTTCAGAATGGTTGCAACCAGCAGCTTAACCAACAAAAACTCTGCATGTATCTCCAAAATGATACAGCAACGTTTTCAACAAGCTGCTGTAACTGGTGAGTGGGTTACGTGGTAGTGATTATCGTCATTTGCTGACTTAAAGTACCCCAAGGCCTATTGGGAGCAACCTCTCAGAGGACTATACAATTCCTGTGTTATAATATTAATCTTATGTATTTATTTTGTAGGCAATATTCTTCCCTTTTCCTATTCCTTGGATCAAAAGTTCTTCACAAAATGGCCTGCAGTTCTTTGACAGTGTATATTTCAACAGAGCAGCCCTAAAACAGAATTTTGTAACTAGTTGAAGAAAGATGTGGGACCCCCAGATGTTGCTAGGCTACAGTTCCCGTCACCCTTCACCATTGGCTAAGTTGGCAAGGACTGATAGGAGTTGCAGGCCAGCTACATCTGAAGGACCACAAGTTTCCTAAGCCTGGTGTAAGAGTTGAGCATGGTTGGAACAGATCCAGAGTGCACTGATAATGGAAAAGGCACAGCCTAGGCAATGCAGCAGTATAACATATCTGGAATAGGTTTGTGTCTTTCAAAATTTGCTGAAGGAAAAAAAATCTATCAGAATCTTTCTTGTAATCAGACAATGCATCATTGGGGTATAATGTTCAAAGTACTCTTGCTCATTCTGCTGCCTTTCAGATGCTTAAAATGACTATTTACAGCATTCCATACCATTGGCCACACTGAATAGGTCTGTTTGGAACTATAGTCCAAAACATCTGAAGCTGGGGAAAGCTTTTGTACCCGTAACAACTCTGTGTACCTTATGCTCATTTTCACTCTGTATAAAGCAGTTGGGAGACTCAGAGCGTCAACATTTCAGAATATTTGTAATGACAAAAGCATGCTTTAAATGAGGGAAATCAGCACATTCTGCTCCTTCAGCAGTATTAAAGAAAATGTGTATCCTGAAAGCTAATGAAAACCATTGTGCTTAAATAGAAGTTGTATTTTCCTATAAAATTAAAGCAAAACTAAAGGTTTCTTACAGATGGGACAAATAGCTTTAATGGTAGCAAGACATGTTTGCTTAGAATTCATAGTCTCTGAGTTCAGTGAGATTTAACCCCCAGTAAAAAAATGCTTAGGGTTGTCACCTTCTGCATAATTCCCTTTAGTATGTAAAAAGTATGGAAACACCTTATTTTCTCTCCATTTTGTTTTTCATGTATGGATTCTTTAATACAGTAAACTAGTTGCTTCTCATCTTGGCTTTGTTTTTGACAGCTTGCCAAAATATAATCTTTTTAAAACACTGCTGGATCACCTGCTTTTTCAATGTCTGCTGCGTCATTTTTTCATTTTTTCTGTTGACATCTTCTGTTCCTGATTTTGCAAATAATGTAAGGTTGCTATTGGCCTAAAGGCTATATTCCAGGGGTAGATGAACTGGTGCCCTCCAGATGTTTTGAACTATTAATTCCATAATCCCCAGTCTGCTGGCTGGGAAAAATGGGAGGTGCAGTCCAAAACACACGGAAGGCTCTAGCCATTGCAATGAACATGCATTTCAGTTGCAGCCAGTTTTATCATAGGGAAAAGAAATTTATAATAAACTGTATTTTTGCATGTAATCTAATACTGTTGGCAGCAAATAACTTAAACTGACTCCAATTTGTCATTAACCTGATGAGCCGCTAGGAAAATAAATAGCCATTGCTTAACTTTTGGTCTAATGTAATTATTTGATATTACAAGTGGTGGCTGGCTTCTTGCCAGTTACTGAGAATCTTTTTCCTCTCTCCTTCTCCCATTCATTATAGACTTTGACTATTGGGATTATGTAGTGCCTGAACCCAACTTTAATGAGATGGTGTTTGAGGAACGGACATGTCAGAGTTTAGCTCGAATGCTGGAGACGTGCCTGTCTAAATCAAAACAGACAAGACTGCATTGCTCAAGAGTTCTGGTCCCAGAGAAACTAACCAGGAGGATAGCACAAGATATCTTGCGTCTCTCTTCTACTGAGCCTTGTGGCTTAAGGGGTTGTGTTATTCATGTCAACTTGGAAACTGGAAATGTATGTAAAAGGTTGGATAAGATTGTCTACGACCCCACTGTCGTTTCTACTTTTGAACTGACGCTGGTGTTCAAGCAAGACAGTTGTTCATGGCCTAGTTTTAGGGATTTCTTTTCCAGAGCTTGCTTTGCCTCTGGTGGCAAGCATACCCTGATCCTGAGTCCTGGATTTCGGCTAATTAAGAAAAAAATATACTCGTTTGGGACAGTTGTTGAAGAATGTTAAAATGTCTGGTTTTTATGTACAGATACCCAAAACGGTGTTAGGAACTGAGCCTAAAGTCCTTACAAATATGAATTAATTTTTTAAGTTAGCACTGACTTTTTGCACAACATCCATTCATCTCCCTAGCCCAGCAAAATCTCATTGCTGCTAGCTGGTTCTAGGAGAGATGGAGGAGCACCACTACAGGTACTTGAAACATTCCTTGATTAGCATCAGCTCAACAAGCCCATTCAATGCTTGCTAGCTGTAGTCCAAAATGTTACCTAGAATGTTACCTTGTTGTTTGGCATTCTTGCATTTTTTTAAATGTGATGTTATCTAGATTTGGCTTCTTCTAATCTTTAAGAAGAACAAGAGAAGGATGGCAAACAACAAAAGTATTATTTTGTCTACTTTTGCCAAAGTTGGATTGCCCAGTGGCCATGCTGGCTGGAAATTGCAGTCCAACGCATCTAAAGGGCACTGGATTGCGATTGTCTGGCATAGCTCTTATGTAGAATGCAGGTGCTCTACACAGTGATCAAGTTCTCTTTCAGATGAAGGATTTTCTAGAAACTCCTGTGTTCAACAAGTCGTGGACAACAGCACTACACTTTAACTGCATGAGCTTCTTTAGCTTCTGGAAATGTATTGAAATCTACAGAATGTTCGACATGGTTTTGGACATTCAGTGTTGAGTTATTGTGTATTCAATTTAGTGGAACAAATATTTGTTGTATTCACAGAAATGCCTGACCTGCCCGAAGTCCACTTTGGAAAATAAGGATGTTGCTCTGTTATAGGCTAGCCTGTAATTTTGACCGAATGAACAATACGCAGTTGCTTTTCTTGGACTTCTTCAGTGCCAGTGGTCTCAAAATGATTGGAGGGGTGATGTGACTGCCTGGAAACCACAGATCCAGTTAACTTGATGCAGTCCTGTGAATGATGCAGGACATTTTGGATGCTCAGAAATGATTTGGAGGTGACTTTTGATAAAATGACTCCCAGAAAGAAAATCAGTCACATTCTCACTGTTCTGCTGCATCTTCCTGTGTCTTGGTTGAGTGATAGAAAATCTTAACAGTCAAAGGGCAGGAAAAGTCAACTGAAAATGCAAATCTTTGAGGTTTTTTGGTCTATCCATCCATCTGCACTGCAGACATGTCTGTAGGATATGCAATATTTTCCATAATCCAAGGAACAAGTTTCTGTGTGGTTTTGGCACCATTTTCCCCCTATCTTTTAAAGAAAACTTCCATGTGTCCCCCACTTCAGCAGGATTAAAAGAAAGTTTTGGTAATACACCCTATGAAGGTCTTCTCCTTCAAAATATGAATGGAATTCCCCTTTTCCCCTTCCATTTTGTGGCCCACTGTTGCATTTTCAACAATTTATAAAAGATAGGCTGGCATAAAACCCCGAGTAAGTGGAGAAGGGTAGCCAGTGTCCCAACAAGGTGGTGATTGTCTTTTTAAAATGCCTCTTGGCTCTAGCATCCTACACTTGACATCACTGAGTTCTAATGTGTTGGTTCGGTGCAGGTGAGTAATGATAGCAAAGGTCTCTTCCGAAAGAACAGAAGTTATAATAAACATTCTTCCTCTAGAAGATCATCTTATAGGGGACCAGAGTAGAGGAAAATGACACAGAAGACCCTGCTGTAATAAGAACTACATTGCTTTATGTCAAAGGCTTGGTGTTTCATCCATATGCAACTTGCCCCATATAAAATTAAAATATGGGGTGGGGTGGGAAGTGGAACTCCTTGAAGCTTCTGCAGGTGACACTCCTGATTTCCTTCAGATTTCTATATTGGAGATCAACTGATAAGTACATGGCATATACATTGGAGCTGTTGATTTTATTATACCTGCATGGGTTACTCTAATATATATGGGACAAGAAAAATAACAACACCATGCAAAACGAATGGAGGATATCACATAGAGGTGGGTGTCTACATTGTTTATTAATTGCACATGCCTGACTCTGAACACAAATTGGCAAGCTGCTTTGTTGCTATAGGACTGTTGTAAACAGGTGCACTTACTGGTTGTATTCAACCTAATGCTTTTAAACTGCAGATCTTCGCTGGTAAGCTCTGTAGGGGGTGTTGGTGAAGTTAGATTTGCACTGATAAGACTCCTTTACTGTTTTGAAGTTCTGAAATGTTGCTTCTTGTATTATCTTGTTACGATCTTAGCACTGATCTTAAAATGTGATTCCTATGTCTGCCTATAAATACAGATATACTTTTAATTTTCAGATCTTGAGTAGTCATTTTGAGACTTTCTAGAGGCTCTTTGCTTTCATTTAATTGCACTCTTCATGGACATGTCAGTGTGAAAGATGCACTTCAAGCATTCCATTCCATTTTTGGTTGTGAGGACTGATACTTGATCCTGAATTCAATAAAAAATTTGGCTTAAAGATACCTCAGTAGCCAGGATTTTATTGCGATAACCATATTTTCTCCTATATGGTCAGTCATTAAAATATAAAATTGGTTGGCCATTTACTCTTTTGTACCTATGGAAATGTTTCAAAATTGTGGGAATTAAGCTTCCCCCAAGTAAGCGAGCACATGCGATATTTTATTCTGTGCTATTGAATACAATGGAACTTACTCTAGGTAAATAGGTTGCTATACAGTTTGCAAACAGTTTGTGATACACCACTGAGGAGAGAGTTTTGCTTGTTTGTTTTTTCAAGGGGGGGAAATAAACTCTTATTGGACATAGCCAGTAGTCAAACTACGGAATTCCTCAATGAATGACAATATAAAAAGGTGAATAAATAAGATTATGCATAGTCGTTCTAAGTATGGCAGCAGCCATTTTAGGACATGAATTGATTTTGTAACCTCTCAACCTCTCAACTAATATCTGGTGCTCTGCAAATCATACTTGCACTTAAAATTGGCTTAACTTCCAAAGATCTGCAAAATAGCACTTTTAAAGGTAATTGGAAGAACTGCACATTTGTAAATACATAACACTGCTCCTTGAGTACCATGGACTTGCACCATTGCTGTAATGGAAACACCCAGTGGTAAGGTGGGAAGAGCCCGAGTAACAACTGAACTATTTCACAGCAGTTGCATCCAAAACGCCTGTATTGGCGTGTTATACCCAACCCAGTTTTCTGTGCAGAGAGATTTTAGGGGTACAGCACCTTCCCTGGGTTTGGTTTCTTTGGAATGAGGTCACAGGAGGCTATGCATGGACTAGTTACCAAGGCTGATCTTCCTAATGAAAGAGTTGCCAAGCTAGGTTCTTGGCTAAGTTCAGGGCAAGTACCTCTTGGTCATTCTCAGTGGAACAAGTTCCACTTCCCCAACAAATGGAAAAGGCATTAATTAAAATAAAAGAGAAAATGTTCTCAAGGGACGGGAAAAAAGCTTGAACAAGTCTGACGCATTTTAGAAAGTTGTTTTCAACCTGGGGCTGTTCATCTTTCTCAGTATATCTTGAAAAACGTTGCTAATGCTTCCTCTGTTTCCAGCTACTCAAAATATCTTTCTGAGATGTGTCAAGCTTTTTCTGGCACTTGAGTCGCCTGAAAGGACCCCCCTGGAGTTGTTCATTCCCACCATTGCAGTCTGCTTGTGTTGTCGTCCCTGGCTCTAGTGCAGACAGCAGTTGTAATGGCCCACTTTCTCACTGCATGGCAGGCGAGGCGTAGTAACAATGACGGGAAAGAGACAGAGGAGCAATAGCAATGTGCGAGAAGATTGACTCATGGAGGGAGGGAGACCATTGAGAGCATTGTGCTCAAGGGCTCTGCAAAACTCGGAGCCAGTACAGGTTATAAACACAGCGTTGGAAGGCCTCCTCGGATGTCACTTAGCTCCAACCCCATAACAAATGATGGCTCTTAAGTGCACTCCACTAAATTAGTTCCTTAGGCCAGGATGAAAATGGGAAGTAACAGCCTTCTAATAAAGCCTGCAGTCTTTCTAGAATGAATAAGGTGCATCACCTGAGGATATACACGGAGTCCCAAAAGAGGAGCTCCTTGTTTTGTCAAAGCAGACTTATGAGGCCTCTGCTTTTCTGCACAGAATGTGCTCCAACCTTTCCCAGCTAAGCATCTGGATACGCACGCTGCTACAATGCTTTCTGTGTCTCTGGAAAGAGGAGGGAGAGCTTTTTCTTTTTATATTAGCATCAAAAGATGATCTCTGGAGGGAGGAATTGGCTGCAGAAACCATACTTTCCCCACTAAGAATTTATTCCACAGCTAACTGAAATCAGCCATCAGGACTCTGCATTGACAGCTTCATGACTTTTATGTTTATAGAATACAAGAGGGTTGTAACAAATGTTAGCCCCAGGACCCACTGAAAAGAATGGGCCCCAAGTCAGATGAACACTGGATGCAATGCAATCTTTGCAGAACTGTGTAAAACGTGAAGAGCAGTATAGTGGCTAGACAGTCCTGAGGCAAGCAAATGGATTTAGATTTATTTTTAAAAAGGGAAGGGTCATTGCCTCCTTTCCTGACAGGCTCCAGGACAGTTCAGGTGCAACAGACATGCAGCAAGCAGGCTGTTTATGCCTGTGATGCTCCAAGTTCATCTTGAATGCATCTTAGACATTGATTTTAGCGACTACATTTCTCTGATAGCCTCCCCACACTCTAGTCCCAGGAGCCTGCATCTGCAATACAAGATTAAAAGACATGCCAGCACGGACAATGCCATAAAAAGGGGGTTTGTGAAAGTGAGGAATGAAAGCAGATGTTCTAGGCAAATTCAAAGTTAAATCCTAGGGCTACTTTTAACACTCGAGGCAGCTAACAGTAAAAGGCCAATTAAGAAGAAACCACTAAACACGCACAATATAGATACAAATGCTTCATTAGAGAAATTATGGTTAAAAAAAGAACAAGAGTGGTCATAAGCAAAGAGAGATGCTGCACCTTGAGTATCAGCATAAAATCAGTTATTTTTTAGGAGGGGGGCATGATACTCATCATTAAAAGGGAATAGCCTAGCCCTCATTTGCATCTGGCCGCCACATCCTGGGACACACTAAAAGTGCATGGAAGAAATCAGAAATACTTTGTGAGCTTCCTTTTTCAGTGATAACCCACACACACCCCTTCCAATCTTTAATAAAAACATCTTTCATGGTCTGCTAGAGTAGGACACAACCCAATATGTGATTGCATGGTGGATTCTAGCAACATGGAGCAGAAAAATTATGTCGGTAACAAAATGCACAAGATGATGCAGAGGAAGTGCCTGAAACAACTAATAACAGAACAGTAGAGTCCTAAGGGGCCAAGAAGGCCATGAGGTCCAACCCACTGCTGTTGCAGGTCATGAATGTACACCATCCTGCTCAGATGGCTGCCCAGTTTCTTTTTGAATGTCTCTAGTGTGGGAGAGCCCACAACCCCTCCAGGCAACTGGTCCCACTGTCATATTGCTTTGACAGATAGGAAACTTTTCCTGAATCTGATTTGTTACAACTTGAGCTGATGAGAACCAGTGAGAAGAGATCTTGTCCTTCCTCTCTGTGACAGCCTTTTTGGTAGTTATGAAGTGATATCATCTCTCCTCTCAGTCTTCTCTTCTCAAGGCTGAATGCACCTAGTTCTCCCCTCATAGGGCAATGTTTCCAAACCCTGAATCATTTTTGTTGCTCTTGTCTGGACCCCATCTAGTTTTTCTGCATCTTTCCTAAATTTTGGTGCCCAGAATGACACCGTATTCTAAGTGAGGTCTGACTAGTTTAGAGTGTAGGGGAGCTACTGTTTCTATTAATGCATCCCAAAATAGCATTTGCCCTTTTTGTGGCTACATCACATTGTTGGCTCATATTTAGCCTGTGGTCCACAATAATGCCAAGGTCTTTTTCCTTTTCAGTTCTGTTGAGCCACGTATTCCCCATCTTGGATCGAAGCATTTGGCTTTTCTCCATGTGGAGCACTTGGCATTTGTCCCTATTGAATGAAACAAGATGCTAACACTGTGGCTTCATACAATCTTCGCCCCGTGACAGTTTCTCCTATGAGAAGAGAGGACAATAGGGAGGTGGGTGAGAGTGTTTAGCTCTTTCCTTGCCAAGCTGCTTTCCCATGAAAACTCCCTGCTTTCAGCTTAAGAGTTCTAGAGTAATTTGACGGGGAGGAGTTTCAGAGGAAATTGGTGCTACAGAGAAATGCTTAAACATGCCCTTTCCATCCCAAACCATGTGCACTTTCAAGTGGCCCTCCCTTCAGATCACTTTATAAAGGAGAAGCAGCCATGGTGTTGAGATTACATGAGGTTTCCCTGTAAAATTGACCTTGTATTAAAAAAATGCCTTCTTTTTCCTATTCAGACCTCCCTTGCTTTCCCTCTCCTCTCTCCCTCCTTCTCCCTCTCTCTTAAACATCACATTAAAATGGGCTTGCCTGGTTGGCAAAATAGTTTTGACATATCGTAGTGTCATACTTGAACTCAATTGACCATGAACCAGAACTGTGAACTGAAACCAGAGATATTATTAGGGAAGGATGCAAAGGGACAATTCCTGTCGCAAAAAGAAAGAAACAGCCAAATGGATGACAGAAGAGACACTCGCGATTGCTAAGGTTAGGTGAGAAGCAAAAGGAAAAGCAAAACAGGACAGAAATAAGTTCAGAATCCTGAATGCAACTTTTTAGTGACTATCACATAGAGACAAGAACTATTACAACAGCCAGTGCTAGTAAATTGAGAACAACAGAAAAAGAAGAACAAGAGACCTCTTCCAGCAGATCCAAGAAATCAAAGAAAATGCAAACCTAGGTTCAGAATGCTGAAAGATAAGCATGGACAGACTATCTGACAAGAAGAATATAAAGAAAAAGTGGAAACAGTATACAAAAGAGATAAAAAGATGACAGATTCCTTTGAAGAGGAATCCTATGAGGAAGAACCTGAAATAGTAGAATGTAAAGTGAAAGCACTTAGAATAAAGCACCTGGAATAGGTAAGGTACCAGTAGAACTATTCCAAGCTACAGAGTCGGTCCAAATCCTAACAAGAATCTGCCAATGAATGTAGAAAATAAAACAATGGCCCGCAGACTGGAAATGTTCAATATGCATTCCTGTCCACAAGAAAAGAGATGCAAAAGATTGCAGCAACCACGGAACCATTGTACTACTCCTCTCAAACTGCTGTTCAAGTTGTTGCAACAAAGGTTTTTTCCCTGTATGCATCAAGAATGCTGCCAGTCAGGCTTGAGTCTGAAAAGATAGTGCCATGTGATTTCCTCCA